AGAACACAATTCGGAGGAAGGGCAACCTGTCGGTTATGTTCGCCTTAAGAAAACTGTCATAGAATCTTATGGAGATGTCAGTGGTTGATTCTTCTTCATTAAAATGGTTATAAAATCTTATAAAAAATGTTGACGGTTGTCTTTAGTTGAGGGCAAAGCTTACACTTTTGAAAGTTGCTTCATTTTGGGATGAGAGCTGGGCTAATATTAAAGCAGGAAAACATACACGGCATAACTCAGATTTTTTTATTTTTATTTTTCTTTATTTATTGGTTGAATTTATTTCAATTTATTCAATTTGTATCCCAGCTGTGACCCCCTCCCTCATCTACTTCAGATTTTTAAATTGAAAAAAAGTAGTTACTTGTTTATGCATATGAGGAAGCATGAAAGGCAGTCAGAGGCCAGAGTGTGAGAGTTGGCTTTCTCTCTTTTCACCATGTTGGTTCTGGGGATTGAACTCAGGCCATCGGTGTTTTGTAGGAAATGTTTTTACTTTGTGATTTACCTCGATGGCCTAGATCTAAAAATATTGAAAGATTTATGAGGCTAAACATATTTAATGTGTATGTTGGTTATAAGACTGAAATTTTTCCTAATTAAAAATATACCTACCTGTGGGAATCAGTTATAGTTTATTGGTTAGGGATTGAACTTCATGTTTAACTTCTCCCTTTCAGCAATGAAACACTCTCTGGCTTGAACCTGTGCACACTCTTGTGAGTGCTTCAAAATCTCTCACTCTCTGCCCATTGTTCAGTTATGGGTTTTTGTGTTAACTCTCAACTAATGAAAGAAGAAGTTTTCTGGTGTGTGTTGAGAGAGGTACTCATCGTGGGTATAGCAGTATGTCATTTTATTGCCATGTTCTTTCAGCAGAATAATAGCATTAGACTTTCTTGTAGGGCTATGACTTGTCTAGTCTCAGATTCTTGGCCACTTAGCAGTGTCAGGAATGGCTTTCATCTAACAGAATGGGCCTTATATCCAATTCAAAAGTGGCTGGTTGATCTCATAACATTCGTGCCACTATTGTACCAGACAGGTTACTGTTGTACGTCATAGGTTCATAGTTAAGGTATATTGATGATTACCTTTCCCCTCTTCTGTTTTGCAGAGTAATTTAAAAGCAACATGAACGTTAATCAGTAGAGTTGAAGATTCATCCCTGTGTACAGAAAGCACCGAAAAGACAGAGCAAAATGCAAATAGTGTGTGTAAGGAGTAAATTTGTGTGTATAAATGATTTTGTCTTCTTCATGCTTATTATGTATTTCATATCAGTAACTTGAAAATACATGATTTTTTTTTGCAATCAGAAAATGATGTAAAGATGAAAGAAACAAAATTACAGCAATAATAAAAGCTATGCATCTTTTGAATATGTAATTATAACAAATCTTTATTTTATCACTATGCTTTATATTTATAGATAATTCTGATTTATGCTCTGGTGTGTTCTTCAGTCTCTACCTTGTTACATGGTAAATCTTTAAGGGTCATTTTCCTCATGTGTCTAGGCTATTTCCAACCTGGTTCCCTCCCACTGTGGTACACTAACAATATTTGATAATATTAAAAAAGTCTGACTTTTAGACATAGTAGTCCCCAAAGGTTAGCCCTATGTCAAAATTACTAAAATAATTTACAGAATCCAATTTTCGGTTTTGGTGTATTAGTCTCACAAAATTCTATATGCTATTTAGAATGAAGACTTCTGGTACCTCTATTTGTTTCCTATATTATACTAAAACATCTGTAAAGCATATTTATCATTTCTATTTTCTACCCAAGTAACATTTCATATCATGATGATTTTAATACTTAGTGTCTGAAAAAGTCCAAAGGAAACGTGACCATATACTCATTTAGAGTGATTTCATATTGCTAACGGATTTTATGGATGTCTTCACAACATTAAAATAGTTTGCATTCTTTGTTTTGAAGCTTCTGTCCTAAGGTGTTGCGCCTGTTTCCTTAGTGGGTGGTGGAAAAGAGTCTAAAGGATAGCATGTGACATGTAAGTTGTTGGACAGCTTCTTGGCACTGCCACACAGTGTGCCCTATGGCTTCAGGCGGTCATGGTTATGACTATCTGTCTGGCTTGGTCATTGCAGAAGCTAAACACTGCTTAACTTTCATTGTGAGACCTCCAGGTACTTACATACCTACAAAATGCTTCAAGCTAGTATGTGGAACTGTTCAAGCGGTTGGATTGAGAGAGTAACATTGGTGGTACATCTCATAGAAAAATTATCAATGAATGATTCAATACACCGAGCAGCCAAACATCTTCTGGTATCTAGGTGGCATCAGCTAATGGAATTGTTAAGGACGGAGTTTGGAGTAGATGGCTAGAGGATCATGCACATGATCATGTATCCAGTTTCATACTCATCAATGAGAAGCAACAACATACTTGATTATATAAAAATCACACATTTTTAAGCTGGAATAGCACCTAGAATTTCTGGGCCTCAGTGATAAAATTTTTATAATCGCTGAAATGGCAGTAATAACTCAGGTACTGTTTGAAATGTATTACATCTTTCCATATAGTGTGTAATGTCCTGTTGGGATTTAGATTTGAACCAGCCACCAAATCCTCACTGTATTGTAAGAGTCAACAGAGGTAGACCGGAGAAGTGACTGGACCTGAGGCATCTGACCTCACTAGTAGGTTAAACTTTTGATAGGTTTATATACCTTGAGGATTCAGAGCATGAAGAAAACTTGGAGTATGATGAAAACTCTTTTTGCTCTCTTTCTCTGGGTTTGTGGCCATCATGACCAGAGAAGCCTTGCTTTACCACCCCACTCTGCCATCATAGCCCAAGCTTCACTAAGTGCCCAGAGGCAGCAGAGCCTGAGGATCATGGAATGATATTTCTGAAAACACGATCCAAAACAAATCCTTCCACTTCTAAATGGATCTCCTCGGGTGTTAAGGCAATGTAACATGACCGTTTAATTGCATACCTTAACCACTTAATTGTATAAAATTATTCACAAGTAGTTTGTTATTACAATGAAAAGAAATAACTTACTTCTTAGTGTTGGCCCTTACTAACAATATTGACTTTTCAAACAGGTTAGCTATTTTTTTTTAATATTAGCCACAATAGCAACGAGGCTGCTCTCTGTTTTAAATAGCAATCCAAAAAATGTTTGATTCATAGCTGAAGTCCCAAGGTTTTGTAATTTCTAAGAATTACCTGCAACTTATCTCAGTACTACACAGAATAAGTGTAGCCCCCTCCCTGCTCTCCTCCCAATCCCACCCACCCTCCTTCTTGTCTTCCCATACCCCTCCCCAATTCCACTGATAGGGGCAGTCCTCCTCCCCTTCCATCTGACCGTGGCCTATCAAGTCTCATCAGGACTGGCTGCATTATCTTTCTCTGTGGCCTGTTAAGGCTGCTTCCCCATCAGGGGGAGGTGATCAAAGAGCCAGCTATTGAGTTCATGTCAGAGATGGCCCCTGTTCCCCTTACCGGGGAACCCACTTGGACACTGAGCTGCCATGGGCTTCATCTATGCATCTAGGTTATCTCTATGCAATGGTCCTTGGTTGAAGTGTCAGTCTCAGAAAAGACTGGTAGGCCCAGATTTTTTTTTGGTTCGGTTGCCCTTCAAAACAATCAGAGCCTAAAAAATAAAACACCCATTGCTTTCAGTGAATATTCATCACTATATGAGTAACCAAATGTAATGTCTAATGATAAAGTGGGAAGAAGAGGTCTCGGTGAACCTGAGTCCCTGCCATAAGAAGGTTAAACAGTGACAAGTGATAGCACTTTCTTGGCTATCTGCCAATGTCTGTTCCAATAATCTCTTTCTACCCAGAGATTCCCACTTGCTGCCTCGTATCATCTCCACAAGTCTTTGGAGATCACAGCTTGTTTCTCTAAGCCACAAATGAACATTTTGGTTTTGTTGAACTAAAGAATACTAGCGCTGAAAAGAAGTTAATTCACCAATAGTCTATTTCAGCGTTCAGACCTGTAGGAGGTCTGAACATCACTTCCTGCACCTATGTGAATATCTCTAAAGCTGTGCAGCACTCTTCTGTACCTATTCAGGCCTTCTTAACATAATCTGATGGGCAGTCATTACCAATTCATTGAAATGGCATGCCGGAGGGAAACAGTTTTCCAGCCTCAATGAGTGTTAATATCCTACGGCAACTGGTAAAATCAACAAGATGTCATTAGTCTGTATGTTGTAGCTGTGTGCTTGGGAGTGATATTGTCATTTTGAGGCAGGAATCCATGGGACTTCACATACATTTAAGTACCAAATATAATATTTGTTCTGATTAATTTTTCCTCACTCCTTGAAGAAAAAAAAAAGCCCTTTAAAGTAATCATATAATTTTCCCCTGACAAAAATCTACAAAGCAGATAAATGCCGATGTTTTTCTTGCACAGAGGGCAGAAAAAAAGGCTCTCCAATGAACAGAAGAAGAATGTGAATTCTTATGTATCTTCTGTTGGATGCATGTGAGAAAAAAAACCCATATTTAAGGTGGTGATGAGTGTTGGCCCAGGGAAGAATTAATATAAAATGCACTTTCACACTTTAATCCATTTATTTTAAGAACACAGAAATAGCTTTCAAATTGTTAAGCATCACTAACAAAGAATGTATGTAATGCTTCCTCTCTAGAATGAGAGCACAGGAGCTGAGGGCCTTAGACTCTTCTAGTGAAGCCTGTAAAAAGTTGGAGAAATTTAACATTTTCCAGCAGAAGAGGATAAGTCAAATGTATGATTTAGGTACAGGCTATTCCCACTGCCCCTTACTAGGATGATGTGTTTGATCAGGGAGGGGAAGACTACTCTAAATATACCACCACTTTTTTTTTTTTAATTATTTTACTGCATCATTATCATGTACTCTGGTAAACTGGCTTCAAGCCTATCTCCTCTCCCCTTTGCACTGGTCCCTCTTTGAAATATGGAAGTTATGGATGGAAATTAGGAAATGAGCCAGTATCATATGAAAACATTTATTGGCTGAATAATAAAACTTAGGTAAGGGGTTTCTAAAGTTAGACACCCCCCTCCCCACTGAAATACAAGTTTCCAGTAAGCAAAAATTAGCAATTACTTCTTGATCCCGAGAAGAAAGAATACATAACCTAAATCATAGAGCCTTAAGGGGTGTGTTCACTCTGTTCTTCTGATGGTGTAGTGAAAGACAAAACAAAATCACACCACCCTAAAGCTTTGCTGTCTTACATCTTGCTTCCTCCAACTTACACAAACCCACAGGGCAACCTTGAGCATCTTACTGCTGGTGATTTGCATGTAAGTTCTTAGTAACGTTTTTGCAACAAAACAGAAACAACTAAGACTATGGTAAATAAATAAGAGCGAAAGAATAATCAAGCCACTTCCTTGCCTGGCAGGCGCGCAGCAAACCTGAGGCATCATCTGCAAAACAGGCTCCTCTGCCTTCAGAGACCAAAGAGAAGGCTGATCCTTCCCCGCGCCGTGTCCACAAAATCTTCAGGGTGAAGAAGTTTAGTTAGTCCTTCCACACAAAATATACACACCCTTTAGATGGGGCTGAAAGGAGTGATTCTGTAGCGCTATGAAAGCCCCAGTTGCTTTTACATTGCTTTTTACCGTTGAAAAAGCCTTACTAATAACAACATAAATAATGCACAAAAGTAAACCCAAATCGGAATAACTCAGCCTTTTAAAGTTTTCCTTTTTTTAAAAAAAGATGACTTCGGACGCATTCTGAAAGTGCAAATCTGCATAGAATAAAGCACTTACAATGGAAACTTTAGCCCGTCCTCTGTCCCCCACCCTCCAGATAGTCGCTCTTCAGTCGACCTAGCCTGGTCCCATGGCTCCTGATGGTGAGTGCCAGCAGCTCGTATTTGTCTCTGAGCCCTACAGAAATGTCCAGCGTCTCCTTCAGCAAGGACCTGGTGTGGACCAGCATGCCCAGGAAGTCCTCATTGATTCTGTTTTCCTGCCGGCTATCCTGTTCCTGGCCCTGCTTGAACTTACTTTCCAGCTCAGTGAGAGACTTGTCAGAGTTGGAGTAGGCATCCCCGATCTGGTGGGACTCCCGCCTCAGGTACTTGCCGTAACTCTCTTCCCCATCCAGGTCGTAGGAGATGCTTTTGCTGATGCCCTCCAGGACGCGCCCAGCATCCTCCACCTGGCGGCCCAGTACCGTGAACTCCTCTCGAAGGGTGAGGCTCAGCAAGCTGCTAGCCTGACCGCCTTCCCCCTGGGAGCAGCGCCGGCGGTCACTCACCCTGAAGAGCAGCTGACACTTCTCAGGGTCGTCATTCTCCTCATAATCTCCATCAGGCACGAAGTAATGATGCAGGGTCCCATTAGACATTTCTGGGTACAGGGGACCATCAAAGTAGCCTCGACACAGGTGGCAGAGGAAACCCATCCAGATCAACTTCTGGAACACCATTCTGGATATTCGGAAGAAGGGGTTTCAGTTCAGGAAAAAGGAATGGGATCCTCCTAGGAGTCAGCGGCTCCGGGCAAAGGCGCCCTCCTGAGGAGCAGCGTGCTGGCGGCTCTCTGATCGCTGTTCCCCGGCAGGTTTCATGAGGCTCTGCGCAGTAGCGGTGAGCACCACGCTCCTCTGCGTCCCTGCTCCTCTGATTTGGGCGTCTAGAACTCAGCCTTGGCTTTTCCAGCAGGACTGCTCCCCCCGCCGAGTGGGGACCTGCTGCTCCAGGCGCTGGCTCCGCGGCCACCCTCGGAGTTCCCTCTGCCTCCAGGGAGATGGAGCTAGTAGGTAGGAAAGCTGTTCATGCTCTCTGAAACTCTTTCAACCCCTGGACTGGGTGGGAATACAGAGAGCTTTCTTTCCCTTTGACTAAAGATATCCCAAGGATTGCAGGGCTCTCAAATTACAGCTCATTTCGTCACTTGGGAGCTAGGGAACAAGTTTAGAAAGAAAGCTCTCACCAGGTCCCTTGTTAAAGGTACAGGGTATCTTTTCCAAGCTTGGAAGAGGAGACCCTGTACAATAAGACTTAGCTCGAATAGGGGCGTTAGAGGATGAACATAAACATAAAATCCAATTACCATTAGCACATTTAGGCAAGAGGTTATTGCAATGGAGAAATGACAATTCAGACACTTAAATAGCAGGTGAGATAGATTTTTTACTCATTTGCAAAACCTTTATTAACACAAAATTTGAAGTGTTGAAAATAGCAGTTTTGTTTGGAAATGGTTTAAAGTTTATTAAAAAAAACAATACTTTGGAACAATATGAATACAGAAAACTATTTTTTATTTATGGTATATAGTTGCTAATAAAATTTTTAAAAAAGTTTCCTGTTTAATCAACTGAGACCTCTGTGTGATCTATTAGACAGAGTCCCACTGAGCCTTACTGAGTCTTTTATCTAGTACTTGACTGCTGGGGCCTCTTTTCAGATACTGACAGGGTTGGCATATTAACCCACATGTAGAAGCCAATTGTTACTGTCTCCGTTAGATTGTAGTTCAGCCATTAAGGTACAAGGATTTAAAATTAAGTTAAAAAAACCTTATTTTTTTCTGGAAGAAAATAATTTTATTCTAATTAATTCACAAATAATAACATTACCACTACTGATTTAAAGAAGCCGCCCAAACATTTGTCCAGCTGCCAGTTCTACAGTTCTACATACATATCTCTATAAATACATATGTACTCAAAACACCAAGCTTCATGAGCATTCCAAAGCAATGAAGCTCCTAATAATGTTTAAGTTTTGGGTTCATACCTCACACTTTTCTCTACCAAGTGCTTTGCTCCTTTTAATGCTTACACAACTTGTCCATCACAACCAGTTTCTTCAACTTGCTCTTCTTGATTGAACCAATCTGTTTGAAAGCTTGTACTCTTTTCCCACCACATGGAAACCCTTATAGACTTTGTTGCTCTGATTCTGGGCACATTCCCCAAACTGTTTTGTATCATGAAAGCAAGGACCACAAGAGTACTGCTGTGCCTGCCGGGCACAGTGATGCCAAGTAAATGCCGGGTAAGTGATGCCAAGGCTTTATGTGATCAATACTACCACGGTCACTAAAGGTCCAGTGAGGTAACCCAGTGTATGCCCCACAGGGATGCTTACAGCCACCCTGGGCACACTGGCTGTCATCTGGGTCATCAGTCCTGTTCCTGGAAACAAAAGCAGGAGGAGGAGCTGTAGGTGATGGGGCTGTGTTGCCAGCTGAGCTTCAGAGGCTGGCCGGGGTGTAACTCTCTTCAAAAGGGGCCTGATGGACATCAGGACCATGCGGGACTGTGGTTTCACCTTCCACATGGTACCTTAAGTGCTGTCTCTGGGTCTAGAAATGTGAAACTGTGAAAAGACCACTAGTTTCTAAAAAAACACAAAAACAAAAAACAATTTTTTCCCACAAGGTCATTTTATGTTTTGATTCATGAATTGATTGGCAAATGGCCATTTGTTAGTCCATCCATTTGTTCAAAGATTTATCTAACTTTATTCATAAAGTTCTATTTCTGATATTAAAGATACAACAATGAACAAAACTAGAAGCAAACTATTGCTTTCCTAGAGCTTTCAATCTGGGAAGTGCAGGGAGAATTAAAGTAAAATAAATAAATCAATGTTGTAATTGGATTATTTTGGGATTGTGGAGGAAAGAAACAGAAAATAAGTGGAAAAATGTAATGGGGAAGCTTCTATCTCCAAAGAGATTTGCTATTTCTGCCTATGTAGCTGAGCCACTCACACTGAATGCCCACTGTTTTACATTCTCCCTCTGCACAAGGATAGCTGTCATTCAGATGCACAGAGCCCCGCTGTTGTCAGAATTGTCATCACTCTCACTGTCACAGGCAATCCAAACTCCTAGACAATGAAAAGCTCAGCTAAGTAATGAGTTAGTTTTGGATATGAAATCAAACATACAGACTTTCTGAAGCATGCTCATGATGGCCTCACATCTTAGTTTTTTCTCTAGAGACTTGATGTCATGAAAATATAGGCCAAAGCAAGAGTTCTTTAGTGTTGTGCCAACTAGAAGACCAAGGCTTGTTTTCTTTCTGTCCTAGCAGGAAACTCCAACCTTTCCTAACTTAGAGACTGAGCTGTTGGGCTCACAAGACATTGCCTCATTCCTTTTTCTTGGGGCATTCACAAATGACAGCTGATGAATTCACAATGGCTATTTGGCCAAAAAAGAGAGTAAGGATTTACACAGATTCACTCCACTTCTGGCACAATCTACTCACCTCAGACTTGCTAACCAATTCAACTACTTAAAGTTATATTAAAGACTCCCTGCCAGTTCCCTACTTATAGGATGTATTTTTAATTAAACATACAAGCAAGATGTACACTAAAAAATTTCAGCCTGTAACAAGTTGGCTCTCTAGTCAAAGACTCAGGCAGATGGTGATAGAGTCATGAAGAGAAAAGATAAGAGTATTTACTTTCTCTGTGTAATCATTTCATCTAAAGATACAAATACTGTGTCATGAATCAGTAAAGAAACTATTTCTCTGCAAGTGAGTACATGTAAACTGAAGTCTGACTAAATATAAATGAAAATTCATTGGCTCACATACATCTTTAGATTAGGTTTTCAGAAAGACTTTCTCTAAAGCCTAGTTTTCTCTCATTATCTCTCGGTTCCACTACATCAGTTTTTATTCGTGGCTGGATAGGACCATTTCTTGTGTTCCCAAGATTAGCAATCTCTTCTAGGCTGTCTTAGCGTTTCTACTGCTGTGAAGAGACACCATGACCATGTCAACTCTTATAAAGAAAAACAGTTAGTTGCAGGTGGCCTACAGTTGTAGAGGTTTAGTTCATTATTGTCATGGTGGGGAAACATGGTGGTATACAGGCAGGCATGGTGCTAGAGAAGGAGCTGAAAGTTCTACATCTTCATCCACAGGCAGGAGGAGACTGCCACACCAGGCCTGGCTTGAGGATATGAGACCTCAGAGCTGCATCCACAGTGACACACTTCCTCCAAAAAGGCCACACCTACTCCAACAAGGCTTAATAGAGCCACTCCCTATGGGCCAAACTTTTATACAGATGAGTCTATGGGAGCATTCTTATTCAAACCACCAAGTAGGGCTATGTACTACTTTGTTTGTTTTGGATCTAACAGGAATAGCAGGTGGGTTTTTTACTGTTCTAGACAAGCCTCTCATGTCAGCATCAGTGTCCACAACTGGCCTCATTGGATTTATCCACAAATTAAGATTATGGTGGTATGAGTCTGGATAAGCCCTTGAGTTTAAGAAAATAAAGGCTTTGTGTGTCAGCTAAAGGTCTACCATATAAACTATATGACTGGCTAATTTAGGGTCTGTTTAGAAAAGGGACAGCATGGAGACAGACTCTGGGAAACTGTCTATGAATATTCTCCCCACACCACACCTCATTTTTTGTGAACTACACCTGGAAGACACTGCTTCCTTTTTGCAATAGCATGCTTAAAAGTGTTGAGAAGCTGCATAATATGGCAGCATTTCTATCTGCTGCATTTACTGATTTTAATAGTGTACATATACCGGTTTAAAAAAATCCTCATTATGACCAGCATTATTAAATACAGAGCTGGGAATGAATGCATTGAATCATCACATAGCATTCCTCCTACACATATACATTAGCTGTAGATGGACTCAAGGGAATAAGAAGTAGTAAAAGGCTTGAAACTGGAAGTGATGAATTTTGCATATATATCCCCTTTGTTGTAACTTTTAAATTACCATCTTAAATGGGTTAAAATTTAAAAACAGTAGTGTTTAACAACTGGCTTGTAAAATTCCTGAAAACCTAACCATCAGCTCCCAAGAAGTGACACAAGCCATCTCCAACAAACTGTCTTTAGCACACCACGATCTTTTGAATAAAACACTTCATTAAAAAAATCTTATAATAGTTTTTATTGCTTAATACTTAATATGTTCCAAATTCCATCCTGGGCTAGTCTGCTAGGGTCAGAGCTATGGTGGCTTCTGGGAGTTTGTCCAGAAAAGTGAAGCTGAGGTAAAGTCCAAACATGATATACAAGACAGAATATTCTAGAGTAAAACTAAGGTGTGTTAGTTGCTAATAGTGAAAACATTTGACTCTCGGCAGAATAAGAAAGACAAGCAGAGAAAGTAGATATCAAGTAACTTAGGAATATAGAACGACCTTAGGAGGAGTCTCTGGAATCATCCAGGTAGGCAAATGATTTTTGCTGCCAATCCGAACTATTTATACAAGTTTAATTCCCAGTATACAATGCCAGCCAAATTGGCTCACTTGAAACTTACATATCCTTCTTCATTTCAGTGTACTTAAAAATCTGTTTTCTCTTGTCCAGTCACAACTTTAGTAAAGACAGCAGAAATTTAGGTTAACATTATGAGCTTAAAATTCTCTAACTTTCCTTTTTCAAAGGCTTTCTGATTTTTTGACTATCCTTGGTCATAATAGTAATACAACTTTTATAGAAAAAAAAAGGCTCATGTGCATGGAGTATATATTAGTTACTTATCCTGCTATTGGGTAAAATATCCAATGAGAATTCAATGAAAAGATTTATTTTGGTTCACAGTTCAAGAGTAAAGTTCATTATGGTTGAGATGTTTGGGTTTTAATAGCTTGAGTCACAGTGCATCTACATAACTAGCAAGGGAGCAGGGAAAGAAAGAAAGAGAGAGATATGAGCAAGAACTGGGGAAGGAAGGTAGCAAGGAGAAAAGGAAAGAAAATAAATAAAAAGTTAAATACATTTTATATATTCCTTATTAAGGATGTATTTGTTTCATTAATTAAAATTATTGCTTTCTATAACATCATTGGTTA